AGCAACCTCACAGCTCCTGGCCCTCAAGCGATCCTTCTGCCTCAGAGCCTCGAACCGAGTAAGCTGGGACTACAGGCATTGCTGCCACACAATGCCCGGCCCTAATTTTTTTGCTAGGATATATATTAGCTTGGCCCAATTAACTTTCTTTCGGTATTTATACTAGCAGGACGGGTCTCGCTCTTGCTTCAGCGTTGGTTTTGAACTTCCTGAACTCAAACGATACGCCCGCCTGCGCCTCCCAGAGAGCTTAGGATTACAGCGCGGTGAGGGGCCACCGCGCCCGGCCCAATTTTTCTTCTTGATGTCTATGCTCAATATTTTAAATGTCAGCATTCTTTTCAAACTTGATTTTTGGTGTATTGGCTGGTTCAGCAAAATGGCATTATCTTAATACATTGTATAAAGTATTACAGCCTCAGTGTGTTAATGCATTCACATTGGTACATCACCATCATCCACCTCTAGGACTCTTCTCATGCCCCCTGCAGAACAGAAACGCTGCATAAGGCCGGGGCCGCGGGCTGCCTCACGGCCTGTTAATCCTAGCCTCTCTGGAGAGGCGAGGCGGGCCGGAGGTTGCCTCGAGGTCAGGAGGTTCGCAAAACCAGCCTGCAGCAAGGAGCGAGCACCCGCTTACTGTAAATAGAAAGAAATTAATTGCGCCAACTCAGTATAGTTATATACAAAAAATTAGCCGGGCATGGGTGGCCCGAAATGCCTGTAGTGCCCAGCACTTGCGGGAGGCTAGGCAGGCAGGATTGCTCTGAAGCCAGGAGCTTTGGGGAGGTGCTGGCTGAGCTAGGCTGACGCCATGGCACTCACTCTAGCCTGCCGGCCAATAAAGTGGAGACTCTGTCTCAAAAAAAAAAAAAAAAAGAAACGCTGCCCCGATACATGGTAAACAATAGCTCTCCCTTCTCCGCCTCCCCTATACCCTGGCAACACCATCCACTTCTGTCTTCTATGGAGTTTACTCTGGGCCTACCTACTATATAAGAAAGACATGTAATGATTTTTAAAGCTTTTAATATATATTACAGCCCTGTGCACGGTGGCTCACGTCTGCTAATCCTTAGCACTTTGGAGGCCAGAGGTTTAGCGGAGTTGCTCAAGCGTCAGGCTGCTTCGAAACCAGCCTGAGCAAGAGTGAGACCCCCGTCTCTACTATAAATACAAAGAAATTAATGGCCAACTAAGATATATGTATAGAAAAAAAATTAAGCGCGCATGGACTGGCGCCATGCCCTGCTAGTCCCAGCTACTCGGCGGCAGGCTGAGGCAGAGGATTTGCCTGAGCCCAGGAGTTTGGAGGTTGCTGTGGCTAGGCTGACGCCATGGCCACTCACTCTAGCCCTGCGGCAACACAGTGCAAGACTCTGTCCCCCCCAAAAAAAAATATAGATTATAGTAATATATACACATATATATATTGCAAACGTTTCCTCTTCAGGAAATATAATATTAACACATATCCCAGAGCCATGTACAATAGTGTTTATTTCCTTGCTCCCTCATTTAGACAAGCTATTGTCTTTTTCATCTTGCTAATTGAACAGGAGCACAATTTACATTTGTTTTTTTTTTTTGAGTCAGAGTCTCTCTCTGTTGGCCCGGCACTAGCAGGTGCCGATGGTATCAGCCCTAAGCCTCACAGAAACCCCAAACTCCTGGCCTCAAGCAATCCTTCTGCCTCAGCCTCCCGATGTAGCTGCGGGACTACAGGCATAGCGCCCACCTGGACGCCCGGCTAATATTTTGTGTATATATTTTTAGTTGGTCAATTAATTTGTTTCTATTTTTTAGTAGACTGCATCTCAACTCTTGCTCAGGCTGGTTTCGAACTCCTGACCTTGAGCGATGCTCCTGCCTCGGCCTCCCAGAGTGCTAGGATTACAGGCGTTAGCCACCATGCCTGGCCCATTTCATTGTTTTAATTTGCATTTCTTCTCTTACTAGTGAAGTTGAATATTTTTTATGCCTATGATGACAATAATTCTGCTGGACTGATATTTTTCTTATTTTATTGATTAGGAAACCAAAGACCAGAGAAACAATTTATTTGTCTAGTACCCTACAGCCAGTATTGATAAAGCTGGGATTTTAATCTAAGTCTATGACTCCAGAACCAGTTCTATACATTTAGCCATATTGCTTTGATTTTAATTTTCATTTTTTAAAAATTACTGTTTTCTGTTTTGTCTTTTTTTCTATTATCTTTTATTTTTTAAAACTTCTTAGTGTTTTATATTATTCTAAATATCAACATTAACAGGATGATTTTAATTTTCTAATTTGGGCTTAGTCCACAATTCAGTGGTTTTGTTTGTAAAATCCTTAAAAGACAAATCTAATTCAACCCTATGATTTTATAGGTGAGGAAAGTGAGGCCCAAATGGGTTAGCTCTTTATGATATCTCAGATCATTCAAATTCTTCTATTTAAAAAATTTCCATGCCTGGGTATGTAAAGACAGTGGATTGCCCAAGATTACACGGTCATTAGCTATCCTGTGACTAACTCAGATCCACTTTTTCTGCTCTATTAGGCAACTGCCTCACTTTCAATCATTTCTTTCTGTCCCTTGATCAAAATCCCTTTCTTAGAGGGGGAGTCTTGCTATGTTGCCCAGGCTAGGGCAAAATGACTGTTCACTGGCAGGAATATAGTCCATTACAGCCTTGAACTCCTGAGCTCAAGTGATCCTCCTGTCTTGGCCTCTTGAGTAGCTGGGACTACAGGCTTGCTGCTCCATTGGGCCTTTAATAAATAAAAATTATAATAATAGATATGGATTTGAATCCTTTCCTTTTCCTGGTAGAATAAAAAAAGAAAAAAGAAAATTAAATATAAAATTAAAAAACGTAAAAAAAAAAATAGACTGGATGTGCTGGCTTCTTGGCCTGTAATCCCAGCACTCTGGGAGGCTGAGGCAGGAGGATTGCTTGAGGCCAGGAATTCAAAAGCAGCCTGGACAACATAGCAAGAATAATTTAAAAGTGTTAACTAGATACAAGTAAAAAGAGATTAAAGAAATAAGAGCCTAGCACAGTGACACACACCTGTAATCCCAGCTACTCAGGAGGCTGAGGTGGGAGGATCACTTGAACCCAGGAGGTGGAGACCAGCCTGGGCAACATAGCAAGACCCCCCCACTCCCCCGTCTCTAAAAAAATCTTTAAAAATTAGCCAGGCATGGTGGTGCACACCTGTAGTCCTAGCTACTCGGAAGGCTAAGGTGGGAAGGGTCACTTGAGGCCAAGATTTGGAGGCTGTAGTGTGCTATGATAGAGCCTACTAATAAGTAGCCACTGCATTCTGGCCTGGGCAACATAGTGAGACCCTGTCTCTCTAAAAAAAAAAAAAAAAAATTGTAACCACACCTGAAAGAAAAAAAATTTAAAAACAAATGATGTAATAAAAAAGAAAAAAAGTGAAAAAAAAGAGAGAAAAGCATGAGAATGGAGAAAACCTGGTTATCTAGAGGAGTAAGACCTGTAGAAATAGCACCAATTCACTTGGTTATTTATTGCACTGTCATTTATTGAATGTCTCCTACTTGCTGGACACTTTCCTCAGCAGTGGGAATACTTTGAGGAAAAAGACGCAGTGGAGAAACTTAGATGAAAAGACGTAGTTGTGACAAGACAAAGTGAAGGCACTTACATGGAAAGACAGTTTTGCTCCCCAAGGCGGGACTTGTCTTGGAAGGCGGAGGACAAACACAGTGAAGTGCACTGTGATAAGTGCTATAATGGACGCTTGTGCGAGGCTCAGTGGGAGAAAGAAGTATCTAAATCTATTTTGGTGAGTCAAGGAAGTCTTTGCAATAGAAGTGACCTTTAAACTTGGTCTGTGTGAAGACTGAGATAAAATGAGTTCACAGAACTACAAGTAGGTCAATATCATTAAAGCATCCCCAGTGAGGATAGTGGGCGGCAGGAAATGAGGCTGGCTGGGGAGGTGGGTGCCAGACCAAGAATGTCCTTAGGTGCCAAGCTGGAGTTTAGATTTTATTCCGTACATGATGAGAAGTTATAATTTATATATATATATATATATAAAATAACTTTATTTCTTTTTCTTTATTTTTAAATTTATTTTCCTACATAATCCACATCCAGAGAAGTTATTATATATTAGTTACAACATTTTGTTTTTCCTATGGGGGAAACAAGTTCTTACAATAGGTGGTATAAAATAATGTAAAATGGTAAAATCCCTGTTCTCAAAAAAAATTAAAATTATTTTGGCAACAAGCAAGCTAATTCTTCTTAGCATCTGAAAATCTTCTAGTTGTCTGAACAAAACAAAATAAAACAAACAAAAATAAAAATTAAAAAACAGTAGAGGCTGCCATACTTAAACTTCTCAGTAACCTCCATGCTTTTTAAATTTTTTTTAGCCAAAGGGCATATTTTATAACGTTCAAGCTTATTCACAAATAGTTCCCCCAACTTGACTGTCTTACTGAAACATCTCTGCTTAAACTTTGAAGCTGTCTCCTTTGCAAACATTTTGTATCTTACTATTTGGCACACATTGTACTGAGCACTTTAAACACATCATCTCATCAAATTCCCACAGCAAATTAGGAGGTCAGTTTTTATTTTCACTTGAGAAAACAAAAATCTAGGAAGGTTAAATGATATGCCCAATGCCTTACAGCTGAGTAATGGAAACAGAATTAACCCAGTCTTTCTGACCCTTGTTTAATTATGAAGGATAAAGACAGATGAATGAAATTTATTCCCTCTTAGAGCTGAAAATTGATGGGGAGTGTAGATTAGCTTTCTTGGGAAGAGTTTTCTCTCCCTGGTTTGGTTTTCCACATCGTTGTAGATATAATCTGTTAAAAATCTACCTGTGTATTTGTCTAATCAACCTAAGGGATTATAAGACTATGAATTACTTGATACTGTATTTCTAGCACCAATCTCAGCACCTTGCACAAAATAGATGCTTACTGTTTGTTAAATAATGAATGCACGTCTCTTCTTCACTCTGTCTACTGTTGACAACGTCAGATCGTTGTAGAGTTTCCGTCCCTGCTTTGTTAATCTGCTTTGTGAACTTTTTTTCTGGAAAAGCAGAGAAAGAGAAGAGAAAAAAAGTCTTGTCTTTTCACATCCAATTGCCTTTGAGGAGCTGGGAAAAGAGCAATTCACACTTGATTAGCTCACATCAGGTAAATTGGCAACACCCGAGCGGCCGGCAGTCGGCCCGCGCGCTCTCCCCTGCCTGACCGGCCGGTTCGGTGCCACCGCGGAGGCCATGCTTCCTTCCCGGCCAGTGTTGGCTCTGGGCTACCTGTTAACTCTGGCCTTGAGCCAGTCGTTCCAATTTCGAGAGTATGACTTTCTCCAATTTCTGGGCTTAGACCAGGTGCCTTCGCCCCAGAAATTCCAACCTGTGCCTTATGTCTTGAAGAAAATTTTCCAGGACCGAGAGGCAGCAGCCGCCACGGGCGTCCCCCAAGACTTATGCTACGTGAAGGAGCTGGGCGTCCCTGGGAATGTACTTCGACTTCTCCCAGACCAAGGTAAGGACATTTTGAATGTTTTCCAGGGAAGAACCTGTTAGTGGGTGGTGTGCAGAAAGGAAGGGAGAAAGAGAAATAATAATTACTGACGGCTTGTGGAAGCCCTTGTGCTGGCATTTTGCATATTTTATGTCATTTAGTCCCAATCCTGAGAGGAAGGCAGTTATTCTTATCAAGTTTTTAACAATAGGGAAATTAAGGCTCAGACAGGAGGTAATCTGTAGTCTATTCAAGGCCATACTGCTGGTGCGTGAACAAAGTCAGGATTCCTGAGGTTTTTTTTGCGAATCAACTGCTTTGTGCTTCAGCTCAGGTGAAAGGGGTGGGGTGGCCTCGGCCTCACACTCTTCAGCCCGCAGCCACACACCCCGGTGCCTTCGGCATGGCAAGCAGGGGATGACAGTTCTGAGCTCAGTTTTGCCAGGAGTCCTGCGTACCTTGTCCACACCTCTCCCATGCCTTTGTTGGGTGGAAAAGGCGGCTCTTGATTTGTAACTATAGAGCAAGAAGACCTGCCACTGTCGCGCTCTCCACATAAGGCTCCAACCCTCAGTTCCCGAAACGACCACCCACTAGGTTCGTCGGGTCTTCCTTTAAAAGATTCTCCGGCCCGGTTCCACCCCTCCCTCTTCCACCCAATTCTTATTTAAAGCCTCAGATGGGTTCTGAGGATCTGCATGTCTATACAGCCTCGTAGGTGTTTCAGATGCAGAATCAAGAGCCGGCTTTACTTTTACAGCTACCAAAGAGAAAATTTGAATATTTATTTGTCCAAAAAGCTTTTATTGGATACCTACAGTGAGCCTGAAACTATATAGTCTTGCGAATATGAAGAACACAGAAAGGCCGACCTTTTTACAGAGTTTGTAGGGGGGAGATAGAAAATAGATGACTTCCATATGTTCTGCTAAGTATTAGAGAGAAGCTCAGGGCCTTGAACGTGGGGCGTCGGGGAAAATTCCTTGAGGGAAAGAGGTAGGAGGAGTGTGAAGGGCTAGCTGAAGGATTTTCTGTGGCGAGAGTGGAGAACAGCGCAGAATAGCTTGGAGAATGTTCCTGCTCCCCCTCTCTGGAAAGAACTTTGATTTTGAGATGATCCGTAATTCTATCAAATGATACAGGAAAAGAACATAATCTCACCATCACCCTTCCCCAGTCCTGCTGGAGAAAACTACCACAATAGTTGGTGCATATTCTTGCAAATTTTTCTTTTTTGCATATGCAGATTATTAACTTGGAATCTTTTTTGCCTCCCCTCCCCTCCTTTTATTTGTTTATTTATCTTAACTTGGAATATTTTTGTTTAAATGGAGTCATACTATGCATTCTTCTAGTATCATGAACATCTCTTACACATCAGAAGAAATAGTCTACATATCTTTATTTTAATGGTTGCATGATATTCCACTGTACAGACGTACTATAATTTATGTAATTGATGTTCATGGGCATGGGCATGGATGTATTGTTAATATTAATGGTGCTGCTTTACATACACTTTTGTGTGTGGGTACATGCTTTTTCTATTATTTCCCTGGGATAAATTATTATTTTTTCTTTTTTTGAGACTGAGTCTCGCTTTGTTGCCCAGGCTAGAGTGAGTGTCATGGCGTCACCCTAGCTCACAGCAACCTCAAACTCCTGGGCTCAGGCAATCCTGCTGCCTCAGCCTCCCGAGGAGCTGGGACTACAGGCATGTGCCACCATGCCTGGTTAATTTTTCTATATATATTAGTTAGCCAATTAATTTCTTTCTATTTATAGTAGAGACAGCCTCTTGCTCTTGCTCAGGCTGGTTTTGAACTCCTGACCTCAAGCAATCCGCCCGCCTCGGCCTCCTGATAAATTCTTAGAAGGAGATTGTTGAATGAAAGAGTAGACCCATTTAAACTTGATATGTAACAAATGTCCTTCAAAATTATATGCCACTGTGAGTGTAGAGAATTCATGCTTCCCACAACTTAACAGACATCTTATTAAGAATAGAAACTTACCGGCCGGGTGCAGTGGCTCATGGCTATACTCCTAGCACTCTGGGAGCCCTGGCAGGCGGATCGCTCAAGGTCAGGAGTTCGAGACCAGCCTGAGCAAGAGTGAGACCTCATCTCTACTAAAAAAAATAGAAAGAAATTAATTGGCCAACTAAAAATATATAGAAAAAATTAGCCAGGCATGGTGACGCATGCCTTGTAGTCCAGGCTACTCGGGAGGCTGAGGCAGGAGAATTGTTTGAGCCCAGGAGTTTGAGGTTGCTGTGAGCTAGGCTGACACCAGGGCACTCTAGCCAGGGCAACAGAGTGAGACTCTGTCTCAAAAAAAAAAAAAAAAATTAGCCGGGCATGGTGGCGCATGCCTGTAGTCCCAGCTGCTTGGGAGGCTGAGGCAGAAGGATCGCTTGAGCCCAGGAGTTTGAGGTTGCTGTGAGCTAGGCTGACACCATGGCACTTTAGCCTGGGCTTCAGAGTGAGACTCTATCTCAAAAAGCAAAAAAAAAAAAAGAAAAAGAAAAAGAATTTCTGTGCTTGAATGAGGAAAGGGAGAAACAAATCCTCCCAAATGATAGGCCTTAAGAATAACTGATAATTCTCTACCTGTCTGTTGTATATGTGGCCATTTGAGATTTATATCATACCATGGCATATGAAGTGAGATATATTATGGTGGCTCTCACATGTCTCTGTTCCTGTCTAGGTTTCTTTCTTTCCTCGAAGAAACTTTCCCAAGCTTCCCCTTGTCTACAGAAGCTCCTCTACTTTAACCTGTCTGCCATCAAAGAAAAGGAACAGTTAACAATGGCCCAGCTGGGCCTGGACTTGGGGCCCCGCTCTTACTATCACCTGGGACCAGAACTGGAATTGGCCCTGATCCTGGTTCAGGAGCCTCCCGAGTGGGGCCAGGCCAGCCCCAAGCCAGGTAAAATATTCTCACTGCATTCAGTACCATCACCTCAAGGTGCCCTTTACTTCAACCTTCTGGATGTAGCTAAGGATTGGAATGACAACCCCCGGAAGAACTTGGGTTTATTCCTGGAGATACTGGTCAAAGAAGACAGAGACTCTAGGATGGATTTTCAGCTTGAGGACACCTGTGCCAGGCTGAGACGTTCCCTTCTTGCTTCCCTGCTGGTGGTGACCTTCAACCCTGAGCAGTGCTCCTCTTCCTCCCGAAAGAGGAGGGCAGCCATTCCTGCCCTCGGGGCTTCTTACAAGAACCTCTGCCACCGTCACCAGTTGTTCATTAACTTTCAGGACCTGGGTTGGCACAAGTGGATCATTGCCCCCAAGGGGTTCATGGCCAATTACTGCCATGGAGATTGTCCTTTCTCACTGACCACCTCTCTCAACAGCTCCAATTATGCTTTCATGCAAGCACTGATGCATGCAGTTGACCCAGGGGTTCCCCAGGCCGTCTGTGTCCCCACCAAGCTATCCCCCATGTCCATGCTCTACCATGACAATGACGACAATGTCATTCTCCGACATTATGAAGACATGGTAGTTGATGAATGTGGCTGTGGGTAGGATGTCAGAAATACGAGTATTCCTGGGGCAAATCTTCTAATAAAACTACCTATGTGAAATGAAAATATACCTATGTTTATAATTCATCTTCCTGGAAAATCTATCATGATTATGCTGATAATTACACATGTAAAAACAGACACATACATGTACACACACTTATGCTGGAGCCCTAATGACCTTGGTGAATTTCTGCTCTAACATATTAATTATGTATATGATAGTATATTAGACTCTAGATAAAAGGAGACTGGCATTTACTGATAGTCTGATATAGGCAGGCATTATTCTCTGTTACATCTCCCTCTTCTCACTTAACATTACATTATATGGTTTTTCCTATCACCAACATCTGCAGCTAATATAATGGCTGTACTATATGTGATGGTTTAGGTATATCATAGTTAAGAAAATGTTTATCATTAGACATTACGAAGTTTGCAATTTTCATGATAGTATTATAACTCTTTATTTACTTCTCATTGTCCATATTTTTTCCCCATCTCCTTAGAAAATTTTCAGACATAGAATTACAGAGTCAAAGGCATAAGCTGACCCCTGTATAATTAAGATAAAATATATTGATATTAAAACAAATATGGGTGTATTTTGGGGTAAAATGCAAAATTCACATAGATTTCAAATATGAAACTTTAGACATGGTAAAATACTTTGGGTTATCTCAGAAACTATGAGTTTACTTACCACTCCTGTTTGGAGAACTAAAGTAGAAAAGTTAATGGATTACTGATTTATTTAGTTCTTTCTTTCTTTCCTTTTTTTTTTTTTTTTTTTTTTGAGACAGAACCTTGCTTTGTTGCCCAGGCTAGAGTGAGTGCCGTGGTGTCATGGTGTCAGCCTAGCTCACAGCAACCTCAAACTCCTGGGCTCAAGCAATCCTTCTTCCTCAGCCTCCCAGGTAGCTGGGACTACAGACATGTGCCACCATGCCCGGCTGATTTTTTTCTATATAAGTTGGCTGATTAATTTCTTTCTATTTATAGTAGAGACAGGGTCTTGCTCTTTCTCAGGCTGGTTTTGAACTCCTGACCTCAAGCAATCCGCCAGCCTCGGCCTCCCAGAGTGCTAAGATTACAGGCATGAGCCTATATATTACTTTTTTCTATTTTTTTCTCATTTTCCTTAAGGTTACATCAAAAGAATGGGATATTTCCTTCTTCTAGTAGTTCTGTGGTTGGCTGATTTATTCTGCTTCTGAATTGATCAGATTCTCTCCTGAGGCTATTATCATGCCCAAGGCTAGAGAACAGATATACTCACCTTCGTGGCTTTGGGACCCACAATATCCTATTTTTTTTTCTTTATGTCTGTCAGACTAGTCTACAAATAGAGTATGTGCCATGTAGGTCAGGGCTCCCCCACTTATGGTGACTTGTATAATTATTTCATTATATATTACCATGTAATAGAAATAAAGTGCAAAATAAATGTAATGCGCTCGAATCATCCCGAAACCTTCCCCCTCTACCTGGTCTGTGGAAAAATTGTCTTCTATGAAAATGGTTCCTGGTGCCAAAAAGATTGGGGACCACGGCTGTAGGTCAAGTTACATGCTGTGATTGGGGCAGGAGAGGGCAGGGTAGGACTTTTTTATTCTAAAATATAAACAAATGATGCAGGTGTTATAACACAGCTATTTCATTTTTTTTTTAAATTTTTTTTTTTTTTAAATTTTTTAAAGGACACGGTCTTGGCCGGGCGGGGTGGCTCACGCCTGTAATCCTAGCACTCTGGGAGGCCGAGGTGGGCGGATTGCTCAAGGTCAGGAGTTCGAAACCAGCCTGAGCAAGAGCGAGACCCTGTCTCTACTATAAATAGAAACAAATTAATTGGCCAACTAATATATATAGAAAAAATTAGCCGGGCATGGTGGCGCATGCTGTAGTCCCGCTACTTGGAGCTGAGGCAAGGGATTGCTTGAGCCAGGAGTTTGAGGTTGCTGTGAGCTAGGCTGACGCCATGGCACTCACTCTAGCCTGGGCAACAAAGCGAGACTCTGTCTCAAAAAAAAAAAAAAAAAAAGACATGGTCTTGATCTATCACTCAGGATGGAGTACAGTGGCCCAATCACAGGTCATTGTCACCTTAAAATACTGGGCTCAAGCAATCCTCACCACCTCAGCCTCCTGAGTGGCTAGGACTACAGTTGTGTGCCACTGTGCCCAGCTAATTTTTAAAAACAATTTTTGTGAAGACATGGTCTTGCTGTGCTGCCCAGGCTGGTCTTGATCTCCTGGCCTTAAATGATCCTCCCACCTTGGTCTCCCAAAATGCTGGGATTACAGGTGTGAGCCCCTGTACCAAGGTCTTATTTATTTATTCTTAAGAGGAGACAGGGTCTTGCTCTGTCACCCAGGCTGGAGTGCAGTGGCATGATCCTAGCTCACTGCAGCCTCTGACTCCTGGGCTCCAGCAATCCTCCTTCCTCAGCCTCTAGAATAGCTGGTATTATAGCCGTGTACTATCATGCCTGAGCATAGCTATTTCAGAGCATTTTAAAACTCATGATCTTATTTCATGGCAGGCCTGTCCACGAACTCACAGACCGTCAATTTGATTTATTTCTATTCAATTTTGCATTTATTGAATATCTTTGTAAGGAAAAAGAGACTTACTTCTTTCCTCACTAATTTGTAGATTCATGGCTGAGGCACCTACAACATATAACAAAAGGCAGATTAACAAGAGAAAACTATATAAATTTATTTCACATAAGTTTTATGTGACATGGGGACCTTGTAATGAAGACTCAGGGGAACCTGTATAATTTTATGCTAAGTTTGTTGAAGAGTGGGCAGTCGTGCAGAAGCATGACTGGACAAAGCAGGCATGTTCCAGTGGTGAAACGCTGGCAGGAACTTAGTGAGGCCTGTTTCGTCAGGTTCTTGGCATCTCTTTGTTTTTTTTGTTTGTTTTTTGCTTGTTTGTTTGTTTGTTTGTTTTTTGAGACAGAGTCTCACTTGTTGCCCAGGGCTAGTGTTGGGGCGTCAGCCTAGCTCACAGCAACCTCAATCTCCTGGGCTCAAGCAATCCTCCTGCCTCAGCCTCCCGAGTAGCTGGGACTACAGGCATGCACCACCATGCCCGGCTAAGTTTTTTTTTTGTTTTTTTTTTTGTGAGCAGTGGAAGATATAAGTTTTTTATATATATATTTAGTTGGCCAATTAATTTCTTTCTATTTATAGTAGAGATGGGGTCATGCTCTTACTCAGGCTGGTTTTGAACTCCTGACCTTGAGCAATACACCCGCCTCTGGCCTCCCACAGTGCTAGGATTACAGGCGTGAGCCAACAGGCCCGGCCATCTTGGCATCTCTTTGTCTTCAAGGATAAGGGTATAGGGGTATATTTTTCCTTTGGGTATGGGTGGTACCTCTGGAGTGAAGCTTTTCTTCAGAGGAATGTCAGAGTTCAGTTATGGCCTGATTCAGAGCAGAAGGGCAGAAGGTGAGAGGGACCTTTCTGCTTCTGCTCTTTCCTAAAATGCCAAAGTACCATATTTCGGGGCAATGTGTCCTGAACCCGATTACTTTGAAAGGTAGAGCAACAGCTAAGGCACAGATTCTACCTCTGGGTAGTTTACCATAAAATGATGTTTTCCAAAATCAGGTCAGGCCTAATTTTTGTTTATTTTAAAATAAGAAATGGAGGCCGGGCATGATGGCTTACAGCTATAATCCTAGCACTCTTGGGAGGCTAAAGTGGGAAGATCCCTTAAGCTCAGAAGTTTGAGACCAGCCTGAGCAAGAATGAGACCCTGTTTCAAAAAAAAAAAAAAAAGGTGTTCGGAGCGGGCGGCGGCGGCAGAAAAAAAAAAAAAAGGTGAATTCTTCTGAACAAAAGAAGGGCTGCTTTTGATATGTTCATTTAGAGATAGTATTATTTTGACAGAGGAGGGTATTAGGAAATTTTAGCATGGTGAAAAGTGAAAGCAAAAGCAGGAAATCGATGGCAGAAATCTAGAGGGACTTGAATTATGGGAATGTACATATTGGGGGGTGGGCGGAGTTGGCTCTGCTAATTGTATCGCTTTTCTGCCCTCTGCTGATTAAAACAAGGAAGAGCAAATCTATGGAAACGCAGGGTTCCTTACATCCAGGGGGCAAAAGGACCTGTGGGGAACCTGATAAAACATAAGGACACTCCCCCAGAAAACAATACAGATAAACACAAGATTTCTCGTATAATTTTCAGTGACTTCATGGATAGACTATGGGATGGTGAATAGCACACTCTTCTTGAGTCAAGTATTTTTCCTCATTTTTTCCTCTTGTTTATGGCCCTGTGTGCATGAGTATGCACGAACTATTCCACAATTTTCGATTCCTGTTTTTCCCTAAACAACATGCTGTAAGACGTATTCATTCAATTCCTTGTAATGTACCTATTTCTCACATCATCTATTTCTATCCCCATATATCTATGGCAGTGGGCTCTAAAACTCATTCTGCTCATGTGACTTCCTTGAGATACTGAATGTGGCCTTTTGTGACTGGATTCTTTCAAGGTTTATATACAGATATAGATATAGTATAGATGTATGCTATAACATATTGATATGTTGCAATATATCAATATGTTATACAACAATATATATCAATACTTCATTTATATGGCTGAATAATCTTCCATTATGTGGATAGACCACCACTTATTTATCCATTCACTTGTTGGTGGACATTTGGGTTGTTTTTACCTATTGACTATTATAAATAATGCTGCCACGAACATTCATGTACAAATTTTTGTGTGAATATATGTTCTCAGTTCTCTTGGAATTGCCAAACCATATGCTTATTCTAATTTAACTTTTTGAGAAACAAACTGTTTTCTGCAGGGCTGCACCTTTTTGCTCCACTTTTGCAACAGCAGTGCATGAGGATTCTAATTTTCCCATATCCTCACCAACACTTGTTATTGTCATTTTTTTGTTGTTATATCCTTCCTACTATGTATGTAGTGGTGCCTAATTGTAGTTTTGATTTGTATTTCCCTAATAATTAATGATGTTGAACATATTTTTGCGTGCTTATTGGCTTTTTGTCCTTCCTTCCTTCCTTCCTTCCTTCCTTCCTTCCTTCCTTCCTTCCTTCCTTCCTTCCTTCCTTCCTTCTTTCTTTCTTTCTCTTCCTTTTTTGAGACAGAGTCTCACTGTGTTGCCCAGGCTAGAGTGAGT